GAAGTCACGCATGCGCGTAATCTGGTGGCAGGAGTTGCGCAATAGTGTGTAGACTTCGATGAATCGGCGCGTGCGCCATGTTTCAATTGCGACCTGCATTGCTGCCTGTGTCACGGTGATGTTGCGTCAACTTTTGGCTTATCACTTGTATGAGCTACATATTGGGTCCTGGTTTATTTTTTGTGGTGAAGATGGCATTATGAACTGCATCTACTTCGGTTAATAAGTATAAATAAGTGGAGTATTAGACCTATCTGAGGGCATTTTAATATTAAAACATTTGTTTTTGTATACAACGACGGTGGCAAGAAAAGCACGGCCCACCTTATAGACATACCTACATATTGAAGACAAAAGTTTAATGTTACAAGAACATAAGAATGTTCGTTTTAATTAATGACCAAATGACCATAATGTTATTAATTAATACAGATATTCCCTATTCGTTACCAAGGTAACATCACAAAGAACAATTTTCGAAATCTTTTAACTTTATAAGGAAAACGGTTAGGTATGAATTTTCCTTATAATGCGAATGATATTATTGAGAAAATATGTGTTTACTTCAATGATGAGTTCATCTGACACGGAAAGATTTATACGTGTTGAAACTATGTTATTATAGTTAAGTGTTATTCAGTTGCTATAGATTTATTTGCATATATATTATCTACTACAAGAAGTAGTGGCGGCTTTTCCCTTATTTTAACGTGTTTTCGTTTATATTTCATTTCGTTTGTATTATTTTATATATTCACGTGTATTTTCTTGTTGTTAGTTGACTTCTTCTTTGTTATATATAATATGTAAGTATTTGAGGACCTGGGGGATTCAATATTTCAGTAATTTTTAAAAGGTAAGTACCCTACCTATGCCCTTGTGTCTCGAGTTAAGTAATTTTAGTTTCAAATACAATATAACTTAAAAATTACAATAACGAAATCATAACTTTATTGTGTACGCTTATTTACTAATGGCTATACAACAACATACTTGATTTAATGATTACAGCGTATCTTAAAGCTAATTGGGTACTTGCAAACTAGTCAAATTCAATACTTTTTTCGAACTGTCAAAAACTAAAGTTTTCTATGAATTTTGTACAAGATTGTGTATTGTGATGTCACGTTTTTTTAGCGTCAAACAGCAAACTTATTTCTTAAAAAGTTGCTGGAAAAATATTAACCCTTTGAGTACCGTCATTATAGACACAATTAAAGAACAATAGGTTGCAGTCACTGGTGTCCTCGCGGTGTTTGACAGTTTAAAATTAAGGTGGTCATAAAATCAATTAATGAAAGTGTGATTATTTTTTAATATTTTATTGTATTGACAGTCGAAATAATTTATTTTTGATGAAGGCAAGTACCCAGTTCAACACACAAACTAACAGCCTGTCATTAAAAGCTCTATACGTATTCACATGCATTATATAACCCAGTGATGAGGAAGACAGGTCATCCAGGCATCCACGTTTAATTATCCGACATAAAACAGGTACTTATGTAACCTAAGTACGTTATTTAAATACTGGTTCCTTACTGGTTGCACTTAGTATATAAGTTTCTTTGAGAAATAACTTGGGATGGTATGCAATGGTCACGTGGATTGTAATGGCATTTTGCAATGGAATTTATATTGCATAGTGGAGTATTATGCTTACCTACTTATCCACCTAAGTTAGGTTAGGGTCTAGAAGTTGGCACATACAATCATTATATTTCTATACATAGTAAAATTACTTTATTATATCTATGCTTCTATACTATCTAAACTTAGCAATTGCCTTCATAAAGTTTATTTTTTTTTGTAATAACTATCAGGAGACATACTGAATTAACTTAGAATAACGGTTTATTCACGTAAATATATTGAGAAAAGCTCTATTGGTTTCGAGTACCAACAACACAAGCAGCAAATAAAAAAAATATTAATCAAACGACCTACATAGTCACGTTTATGGATAACATCAAAGCATTTAGTTATCAAAATAGAGTACCCTGACAGTTATTAACATCCTGTAGATTATAAATATACATTCCAGAGTCTAATAAGTTTCCTATGGCCTTTACGCGTTTTGTCTTCACAAATTATAAGCAATTATCATTCCAAATTATTATGAAGTTTTCCTATATTAAACTAAAATTTTCACCAAGAATCATAATTATATTAATCTTCTCATTTATTAATTAAATAATAGATTGCTATAAACCATTTACTATAACCGATCTGCTATTAATGTCATATGAATTCACGTAACACCTGTGGTTAGCCACAGTTCAATCATTTCACGTATTTCATTCCACACATTCCACCTAGCAATCATTCGTATAATTTTATAACTTAATATAGTTTTATATATATTTATCTCTAATGTTATTTTAATTAGGTTTTTTTTTCTTTGGATATTTTTCGTCAGTTACTTTTTAAGATAGGGAGACTTTTGTTGTTTAGTCAAATTAATTTGCATCTCTATTCAATTTTGAGTTTTAATGTTTTGCTTCTTAAACCTAATATAATAATGAATATATGTTTCGATGTATGAGATATGATCTTAAATCAATCTCATTAAAATCTATCATTAAGGTTTAAAATAATATTTCAGGACAGAATGGAAAGGTTACCTAGAAAAGGACAGACTAGAAGGTTAGAATATCTATATCACGTGCGGAAGGTATATCAATATAGGAATATCAAACAAATAATTGATTATAGGAACACAAAATTACTAAACACAAATATTGACACTACTAACGCATTTTACAATTATTATAATAATATTCCCAATTATAATTAATACTTAACAATAATTACTGCTGGAGATGTTTTAAAGGTAATTTTGCAACCAATTACCTTTTAAACATGTAAACATTACACACCATGTTAAGTCCTTGACATAAATAAATATACCTACAATACAATATTGATTCTAAAACCTATTTTCAATAAATTAGCACCTATACTCAAAAGAAGGTGACAATTTTTAGAGTTCTTCAACCATCTACTATTGTACATTTTTTTTGGTATAATACATTTAAGGTAAGGTCAGACTAAGTCATCTGTTACTTTCATAGTCTTAGATTTTCTCAGTAATAACAAAATAATAAGTATCGTCTCTTATATTGAGTTCAATGTTCCAACGACAATTGATTCGCTATAATTACCTAGGAACCATGTACTAAAATAGGTGTTACGTCAAAATGTGCTCTATCTCTTCAGGCTATAAAGGGCATAATGTTATGTGCGCTTATGTGAGTATTCATCCATCAAATAATCAAATTAAAAGTATCATTACAAATGACAAAAAAGAAACAAATTAAATCACCATTAATTCGCACTGTTAACCTTTTTATTGAAAACCTTAATATGACCTTGTAAGGGCGTTTACCTGTCTCAGTAGAGATATATTAAAATAATATAATTATGAAAAACAACTTCATATCCTTATACCATATTGAGATATTTGTTTTGTTACATTCTTTAAAGGCTTTAGCGGACGATTACGGATGTTCGTCCACGGCCTACGTTAAAAAACAACATTCCATCTTTACATAGCATATGAAATGAATGGACTACTGGTTCACGACAGAAATGGTTCGAGAAGAACTAGGAAATATCTTGTACTAAGTGAGATGAGTTAGTTCAGCGTCTACTCAGTACATCGGTAGAGACGTTAGCAACTTAAAGACATGACCCGTAGTTATATAATATCTCGTCTTCTTACAAAACCAGAAAGAGGTTGTCAACACTGAAATCGCCATCGGTCTTGCATTTTACCTCTTACAACGAATTTTTTGATGCAAGAAGGTAACACAATCAATGCGAGTTAGGTACCTAAACTTTGATCAACACGTGACATTTGTATGGAAGACACACAAACGTGCGTCTATGAATTTTATCTTGTCTATTTATAGCACATACAAAACTTCCAACTAAAGCACAGTTCCTTTTAGATATATATGCATATATTCAACTGTTACGTAGACTTACATAAATGTTATTCCAATGTTTACAATGCTGCACGCAACTTCAAATATTGCTTTAGTTACACATCACTTTCCACGTTCGAGAACACATATTTTTATTTAAATAGCAAGCTTCTCATGTATTCTGTTAAATAACTTATGCAGTAGGAAACAACATTATGTAATTCATAAGTGGAAGAAATCGTAATAAGACCTCAATTTAAGTTCTCCAGGAAATAGTTTTTGGAATACTAAGACATGTCATTTGAGGGTTACATTATAGGCTAGATTTGTTTTGAAGACCTAAATAATATAGGTCAGAGGTAAGTTAAATCAAAAGTTCACCAGTTACCTACTTAAAATAAAGTAATTTTAACCAACAAGGTTGCAGCAATAAGGTCGATTGCAGACAAGCGACTGTTACTATTTGGTCGTCTCCAACAAGACAAAAATGATTTGGAGACAAAAGTTGGCAAACATGTTGCGGAAAACTCGTTTACTTGCGGACTTTGAAATATATTAGATTCTTTACATTTGTGGCATAATCGTCTGTCTGTGCTTTAGTGAAAATCGACATAAGTCTATAAATAATTTACAAAGTTTTAATAAATAACAATTAGTTCCTACCTATTATATTCTATGACCCCATCATTTGGGACACTATGATTTGATTAACAACAAAATAATTATACTCAGTTAGACTCTATGATCACATTATAAGTTAACATTTGAATATTGTAGCGAGTTGAACTTGCAGCCTCGATTGGCATTGTCCTACATTCAATAAAGGAGAGGAATTTAGCAGTTGATTTGACACTTCATACTTGAGTACTTGCGAAACTTAAGAGAGCGTATTGATGGAAAATGACAATGATGTTAATGAATATAGGGAATGCCCCATTACCTATGACCCTATATGACCCTTTGCAGTTTGGAAATCTCTTTAATAATATTTGCATCTTGTGAACATTGCCATAATGGAGTTTGCTAATTTAATGCTATGTAGAAATCACTTGTAAAAAATAACCAACTTACTTTTTAATAGTTCCCATGCTGTTGACAATAGGCACCTGAATAATTTTATTCAAAAAACATTAATTCGAACAGAACAAAGAGCACGACTAGTTTGAACGAAATCACTTTTTGTTGATCGAACGGTCGAATGTCGATTTTAGATATTGAATTTTATCGCGATTTTCGCGGGAGCGGTTGGCGAGCGCGCTCCGTTCGCCACGAACGTGCTGGCTCGACGGTAATGACGGAATGAGGCAGAATGAGGCTGCCGTCTGGAGGCTCCCTCAGCTGTACAGCAACCGCCGGCAGCGCCGCGCGCCGCCAGCGCAGCGCCCGGAGAGAAAGTTAAGTTATCAAACTCCGCGGTTACGTTTGGCGATGACGCTATCTTCCCAGGCGGTTGCGTATTCGGTGACAAAATTAAATTTTCGCGTACCTGCGACATTTTATGCGCTACTGACACGGTGAACGTCCATCGTTATGGCGTCCCACTTTACCGGTGCAATTTGTTTATTTACATTCTGCCTTTAGCGATAACAAATTAAATATTGCTCTACTACGTCGTGAATTAAAATGTTCTGTAATATCGTGTAATTTGCATGTCGGTTCCTAAAAGGTTGAATAGGACCTAAATTAGGATTGTTAAATAATTTACGAGTTCATAAAACCTTAAAACAAGACATGACCTCATTTCAGTTTTATGGACTGCTAGAATAATAAATTATTAAGTAGAGTCTAGCCCACAAGGGGCTAATGCAACTCTATAATCATTTCCAGTCAAAATGCTCATTAAAAACCTATTAGTTGAATTGTTTAAATTGCAAATTAATTCGGATATTGTTTTTTTAAATTATCAAATGAATGTCATCCATAAACTCCAATGTCCTCAATAAAACCGGGTAATATTATGTTTATAGTTATTATGTAATCTACGGGTTAATATTTATTCGATTGTAAGCGGTGACCGCACAACTTTCACTTTTGCGAATGTGGGTAGGTTGTTAAGAAAAGTCATATGATAAACGTAAGTACCTACATACACGAACATAATTATGTAGTGTGGGAATATTCCCTACATTTAGGTCATTTACAAAACTATATTGTTTGCAGTGGCTAATACGGACTAAGAAATGTATGAATTGTTTATTGTGACGGAAGTTCAAGGCTAGATATTGTGACATTTTGTAATTTTACGTCTATAGCTAATCTAACACACTGGTCTTTACATTCATGGGTACTAAACTAATAATATAGGTCATATTTTTCTCTTAAACGTACATTATAAAAATACAGTAGTTTTTATTTTGATGATGGGGTTAACCCTTCAAAGGGTACCTGGGTTTTTAGGGAGAAAGACAAGAAAGTGGTGTATTTGTACTTCACTAAAACACCTTACTGATCCATTCAGCACCTAAGAGGACCGGGTCCTTTACAAAGACCAAAGATCCATAGGCATAGAGACTCCACTGTGGAAAGCCAAAGTTTTCGAACTAAGGCTGTAATTTTCTAGAATATATCACATTTCTGTTAGTACCTACTACATAGTAACACGTAGTTGCAATAAAACAGTTTATGTAAATATCAGCTATTGCAATGTTTAGACATAGCACGTGATTGTAAGGCTTTATATCTATTGAAAGATAGGCGTGAAGCGAGCTGAACTAAAAAAGGTGAAGTGATTGTTAAAAAAAAACATTTAGTTTCAATGAGGTCACTTAAAAATCCAGATGAATTTAGTGGATATATCAGGACCAATCAATTATTATTATCTTAGTTGGAAAAAATCCAGTAGTAAAAAAAATAATTGGGTCCTTTTCCTGGGTGTTTGTGATTAGGATTACGTTTGGATACGGATTATGAATTTACGCATGCAATGGCAGTAAAATTTTCATCCAATGGTGAAACAAGAGTTCAAATTTTCGCAGCATTACTTCATTATAGTGGAGCACAGTCTTTAGGTTGGGTTCAAGCAAGCGCTGCGGGTGCGCACGGTGGCGTTGCTAATGTTTAAAGCATTGTGGAAGGTTCAAAATAACGTGTCAAATCTTTTTCAAGGATTTATGCAATAAGTAATTTAATTATTTAATAACGTAACAACAACAATTAAAGTCAACATCCTTCGATTGTACGAGAGCTACTAGGAAGTCACTTATTAAAGCAGGTTTTGAAAATAAAGTACAGGAATGTTTTAAACTTTTAAGCTTATATTTACAGCTGTGTGTGCCAATCATTAAATGTTATATGTAGTAAACAAATAGAAGAACTTTAAAATATAGTAAATATAGTAAGTATATACTAACGTAAAAATAAAAAATAAACAAAATTCTTGATTAAAAACGTGCACGAGACTCTCTGCAGAGATCGGTACTCAGGTAAAGACTATTTGATTTTTTGTGTTCGTAATTATCGATGAACAACAGAGCTGGTAGAGCACTTGGTAGCGTGGTAGCGTGCAAATGTTCCTATCTATTATATTGTGTGTTTATACTTCAAGTACGCACACTACAACAAAATAGTCACCAACTAAAAATATTTTTATGTGCACAAGTTCTCTTGCACCCAAACCAGATTAAAAAACTCAAGAGAGTAGACGTACTGCCATAATATGGGGAGAATGAGCAACTCACCCGATTAAAGTCTAGATGACTGATCGCAGGTTTATATAAATTAAAAAAAATGTATACATGTTCAGATATTTTTCTATGTATTGTTAGTGAAGTGAAGACTCCTCTCAACGAAAGTTCAGTACAGGACACTAGGAAATGTTACCTGACATAACCATGGGGCTTGTTACACAATTGTCAAGTGTCCACTCCTTGTGATTACTAAGTGAAAGTGGCTGGAGCTTCCAAACCTGTCTGGTGACATCACAAGCTTAGCTCAGAGCAGGCAAACAATCGAACGTGCCCATCATCACCCACGCACTTAATTCGGACATCTGCGAATTGTTATTGTGTACCTTTTTGTAGTTTTGCAAAGGCGAAAGGTATTTGGACTTATATATATATGTATATATAAAAAGAAAACCGCCGTGAAACAACGCTTGCGCTTGCGGATGCCCAATTACCTCCCTCCCTAGTCTCCCGAATCCCCGTATCCTCCACAATCCTCAAATTCCCAAAAGGTCGGTAACGCACTTGTAACGCCTTGGTGTTTCGGGTATTCATGGGCGGCGCCGATTGCTTACCACCAGGTGATCAGGGACAGGGGTCCTTACAGCATATTTTTAATAAGAGTGTTTTGTTATTATTGGCATCGTTTTAGTAAAGCCAGGTTATTGCTAGGCACTAGCATTTTAGAAGTTAAACCACACTTTATCAAGAAATTATTGGGGATAGATCTGACTGAGTCAATAAAACTATAACGGTAAAAGCACGATGAATGCCTTATACCCTTCCCACCATAATAAACGCAAATTAGAGAGGTACTTGTTAATCCTCCTTGTGCCTTTAATGTCAATGTTTAATATTTGCTAAATTGTCAACTTTGTGAGTGTGATGTTTTATAGTATTTTGTCAAGCAAGCTTACATATCCATCGAGTGTGTAGGGTGTGGCTGAGGTTAGCCGGAAGACATCAACTGTAGGAAACGAACGACCTCACCAAAGGGCAAACGACTTCCTAATCCTAACCCAACGTAAGTAGCTTTGTTATGAAGAAAGAAGAAAAGAGGTTTGCACAGCTATTTTCTTAGGACTTGACATGGATAGTACTAAATATAAACACTTTAAAACATAAGTAGAAGTAACATCTGATAGTGCTTTGGAAATAGGTACTTTTTTTAAGACGGGAAGGATTATCCAAGGACTTTTCCCGTCCGGGTGAGGCGAGAGGGAATATCAGAATCTTACAGACTAAAAACCACTTCGAGCCGGAATTAAAACCAGGATTAAGAGATTTTTTTTTGTAACCATCATACAACAGAAATTGGCTCTCGTATTTGGCCTCTACAAGTGCCATCAAGGAACATATCTAGATAAATATACACATTACCATTATTTTGGCATAGACGGGTTAAAAATGTTTCTCTTGATAGCAACAAAATTCAAACGAATGTTTCAACTTTTGTATCAGAGATTTCTCGACTGCGAAATATCATGATGATGTGAACCGGTGAGTAATCGAGATTTCCAATTTTGAAATATCGATTCGTAGTAACAATACCTATAAACGTTTCTTACTTATCCGACTTTATGTATTTTAGGAACTCTTTCATAATAAAATAGCTATATTACTGACTGCAACCAAACGCATTATTTTATTGCTAGAATAATTTATGATTAAAGAGGCATATAGGTATTGAAATGTATCTAGGTAATGGTAATAAAATATATATTTATTACTAACGTGTTAATGCCTACAGAATTATTTACTTACAACTTAACACCTAAGTCAGGAAGTCATAATATCGGAGGCTTGTAGAATGTAAGTTAAGACTATCATGCAACTCTGTTTTTACCTACATGCCAATTTTACAAGTGAATATGTACCATGGTCAGTGTACCTAGGTACTCCTAATTGGCATGGATTATTTACTTTTGGTTCAAATTAAGTAGTAATGGGGCTCCATTTTTTCTCTCCACTCTTATAAAACAAATGCTCGAGTTCCGTTATCCATTTGCAACTTAAAAAAGTTGGAAATAAAAAATCGTAAAAGTATCAGTTTTTCAACGCCCTAAATTATAGTTCGAAATAGAAACTTTCTCAATAACTTGATTTACAACTGAAATCGTAAAACAATATATTTACGACTTTCAAAAAACAAATATTTACAAACAAAACCTCCTTTGAACTCGAAACAAACTTTCAGAACATTTACAAAAATGTATCGGTAGATATTTCGCAAAAATTGTCATTGAAAATAACAAAGAGTCATCGCAAACAATGTCCGCGTAATTCCGACGCCATTATGTATTTGGTTTAAGACAATATTGACCGAAAATTTCACTTTCTTACCACGTGCTGAGGCGTACAAAACGTACATACATATACACAGCTCATCGAGCTAAAAAACCAGTATATCATGGTCTCACTTTTGT